CCGGCTGCCAGGATCGCTTCAAAGATCTCTGAAGTCCTCACACTCCTTTCGATGATCTCTCCATGGCTCGTACGATATGGCTCTAAATCCCCCTTCAAGAGCTCAGGAACTTGGGTCTTCTTGCCATTCAGCCGAAAGCCCATCTTCTGCCAGCTTCTGCACTTCTTCTGCACCTGCCCTGTCTTCTCTGCTCTTCGCGCTTCAGGCGATGTCGATGGTCTTTAATGGTTCTTCCATGAGACCCCTCACCATCGACTCTAGTGTAAGGAGAAGGAGGAAACGGCTCAGAGCACTCCCTTGTGGGAAGCCTATCTTGGTGAAGAAGGCACTGACACTTTTTTTTCTGGGGGTTGAAGACAGTCCCATGGACCGAGCATATCACGTAAAAGTTGTCGCCTGGTAAGATCTAGCGTTAATTTGCGGACGATCTTGTCCACAAAGACAAAGCGGTGTCTCGGTGTCTAAGTAGTGCCTGCTTAAGTCATGACAGATTGTAGAAAGTCGGCTCCTTGTGTCGCACACGATGTCCAGCATGAATGCCTGCTAGCCGGCTCGACAATTGCCTGTCCTTTTGAGAATTATGCGCTCACTCCAGTGTGATGATCTTCTCGCTCACGTTGACATATTACCTGCGGCCCCGATGATGTTCAGCTGAGAAGATACTTGAAGCCTGGATCATGCGAGGAGCCATTTGCGAGCACCTTCTTCATGATGCATGGTAGGTCTTAACTGAGATAAAAATTAGAAGTCTGAATATGTAATGGTTTCTCTTTTGCAAAAATAGTCGTCAATAAACCATGACGCCAATATTTAGTAGCCACCTTTAGTCTTTGTGCGACTCCGCAGCAATGGCCACACCATGGTCCATTTCCGCTGTGTCCTTCCCACGTTGTGGAGCTAGAGATTGACACCTTCTCGATTCCCTGGCCTTGGCCCCCTTCATCATGTCTCGTGAAGACAAGACTTGAATTTCTGCGGCGTCTATCACGAAAAGCAACCTCTCGGGACCTAGGATTTTTTTTTTCGTATTTCATAATTATCAGACACAGGAGGGATTGGAACTTCATTCAAAAATTTATTGTACAATGAACATTTAAAGTTTTTGCCCTCCACCCTTGCGAATCCGAGCCTCACACTACCAAACTTCTATTCTTTTCCAAATATGAAAGTTAAAATGCGTAGTACGAACTGTTCAAACCTGCAGATTATATAAAGATAGTCTCTCTAAGAGGGCAGGAATTCGATAGAAAAAACTGTCTTTGAGGAACATTTTTTCTCAAGATAGAGCGCGAGAAGAGCGTCTGGTCCAAAAAGATCTAGGTCTCGCGAAGCCTTGCGTGCAAATCGCATTGTTGTCAAAGAGTTAATGCGTCTCTCATCGTGCTGCCCTCCTTCAACGCTAACGCTTTCTCCCTACTGAATCTCTAAGAGTCAGGACGGCGAGAGGGTGGGCGTGCGCGGCCGGCTACGACCGTGCTAGGGCCGCTGGGGCCTCTTTACAAGGGGTCTTTCGGAACATGAGGCGTTTTTTAAGTGATTTTCTAAGCTTTTTAAACTTCGCAGAGGACCATGTGTGGAACACAGATGGTGTATTTTTCCTGAACGTCTCCAGTATGTCAAAACAGCGAAGAAGTGGTCAAGGCGTCTCCCTTGTTAGCTGCAAACGCACACCATCTCGCAGCCTTAGGGGTCCGCCTGTCTTTTGAATTGATAAATCTCCTTACCTTCTTTCTCCATCGTGCAACGCTATCGTGAAAATTTTCCTTAAAGCGGGAATTGTAATGAATCTTTCGGCATGGACCCTATTACTCTAAAACAAGGAGAGTCCCTGTGATCGATAGTGCACTGTACTAAGGAATAACGTAAGCAGATGTATTCTCTATCTTCTCGCTTCTAGTAACTAGGCGTCTTAACTTAGGTAACTTCATTAAATTTCTTGTGCCTTACGAGATTGTTTGTTGGGACATTTACTTACTTCAGTGGCCTAACGTTTCAACTGGACCGTCGTATTCAGAGGCCTAAACATGTTTCGAGTTTTGGATTCACGTTCTATCTTACCAGACGCCACAACCCCTCCAGCGATTCCTTCACCAAGTCGGGAACAAGTAGAGAAGATGAGAACAACGTGAAAAATGATTTAACCGACGGTTCCACTGTATGAGCGGAAAAGACCACAATGCCACGCCAGAGCGCTGGTCAGTTGTAAATAAGGACTAAATACTGCATTGTTCCCTTGCAGTAATCAGGTTGCTGCATTATAAATGTCACAGATTTAGCTTAAACCACCTCGGCTGCATTTCAAAAATTCAAAACTATTTACAGGCATGCCTCAGGATCACAGTGAGTGTAGCGCTTGCACAGAACGCGAACATATTGGTGCGAAATGGGCCGGCAGTAAAAAAAAAACAAGAAAAAGAGGCCGTTGTCAACGATTACGTCAAGGGCTCTCTCACCTTCCTCAACTGTGCGAATGGAATGAGAGGACAAAGCGCGGAGAGTAGAGTATGAGGCGAGAGAGTGCCACAGATGAGAGGACAACAGCATGATGGGGGAAAACTCTGCAGCTTCAGCAACTTACATTGCAAGGCCCAAGCGCACTTTTCGGTTAGTTCTCGTGCATGGAAACGCCAAATTTGCCATTGTCCCCTTAGAGATTTATCCTATAGACCGAAAAGGAAGCGTTCACACAACCTCTGCCTGAGCTGTGCCTCAAGCATTAATTGAAAGCGCAAATCTAAAAGCGTCTTACTAGTTCACTCCAGTTCCATATCACTTTGTTTTTATCACATGAATTTTTTTTGAACGTTGACTAACCAGAATTTCCTGGCGTTACATGTGAATGTTCTACGAGATCCTGAAGGGATGAATCCAACTTACACGATAACGGCAGGTCTTCGTAAACAAAAATCGACCAAGATCGAACCGGCATTGGCTCGACGAGAAAGTAAAGCTCTGACTCCAAGAAACACTTAACGGACGAGAAAAAAATTACCAGCAAAAAAGTGCGAGACCGGACTGGGGACATTTGACTTCTCCGCTAAACGGCTGTTGTCAGAATTCATCTATGTATTCCGCAACCAAAGTCAACGCAGCACGATTGAAGAAGAGCACGATCCCGAGAGCAGAAACAAACGCACTCTGGGTGCCCACGTATACCTGCGCATAGTTGCTCGGATTTTTCGAAAAGGACGTCGAGTCTCTGCATGAGGAATGGCGAAGCCTGACTTTATGACCCATCTCTTATTCCGAGGTGCCGAATTTTTACTCAATTAGGAGACTCACGTATCACTGCAATCTTCTGCTTGTGCGGAGTCAACGGTAGGGATCATTTGTTATGAGAGGGCTCTGTTACCTATCTCGTTGTTTATTCTTAGACTTCTAGTGACTACTAGAATGCCACTATTACTTTTCTTGCCGAAATTTCAATCTCATTTGCCATCTGTGTGTATTTTATCTCGTATTCTCTGTCATTATGCCTTACGAGAGCTGTTGTAACTGTACCGCGACTCATGCTAGCAAAATGCTCCTTGATACGTCTTGCTAGAACTTTCTCTAATTCCCTTATGTACGTAGGATTACATGCCTGACATGGAATTTCCTAAATTACCCCACTTTAGCGCAAACGTCAGTTTTCCCATGTGGGCATATGATGCAGTTTTTGGATATGAACTGCTTTTCGTAAATTCGGTCACGAACCAATTTCCGTTCGATGTTTTCTTTGGGAATATTCACCAACTGACATCATCCTGAAGCAGGCTCGTGTTAATAACCTCTAATTACAGCGCTAATAACAGCGTCATCCTTATTTCCAATGCGCTATGTGATTGAGCACAGTGAACCATCAGGCCAATTCTCCTGCTCTATTCTGCACTTCTTTGAGTGTGTATTGGAAGAACGTTACAAGGCTTTATTTGATTGGAACTCCATCTTCTCACTAAACGTAATGATACTGAAGCTTTGTGACCGTAGTTTCTTTTTGTCGATTATATGCTATCACAGGAACAATGCTCGAGTTCGATTTGAGTGTAGGGTAGTCTTCTCTCTTTGAGCAGAACCTGAAACAACTCCAGAGTAGACACCATGTTTTTGAGTAAAATTTTCATCCTTCAAAGTCTTCCTCTAAAGGAACGATTTAATTGTATTGTACCTGTAACCGGTTAAACCTTTATCCGAACGAGTTTTGATTTCAACACCAGAATACTTGCATCCATCGGCAGCATACATGTCGCGGAGCTCCACAATTTTCACTTCAACTTTTCTATCGTCTGGTGCCTTAAGATTCGATCTTCATACTCACCAACTAGATTTTTTTGTTGGATTAACGGACCTTAATCCAGTAGTTGCATTTCATGAAACCGTCTGGCTGGTCGTCCGCCTTACTACCATCTAGTTGATCTTCAAGGGTTTTCCAATCTTCCTCTGCTTCCAACTCTCCACCACAACCTTCTGGCTAAATCAATTTCATGAAGAAATCTGTGAGGCTAATCTCAAGAATACCGTCACCCTTGTTTCGCAGTGCTGTCCACCATAACCGCTGGGACAAATGCATATGGAGCAATTGCGCGGATGAGGGAATCCATCATTCTGGCATTTTGTGGATTCGGCGTCACATGCGCCTTGAATGAATCACTATCTTTTATGAGCCCTTCTTGTTAATCCACACATATTATTCTTATTATGCCTACCAAGACAATTGTAAAGCTTGTTCATCATAAGCAGATCGTAGAACGAAATGATATCGGATCCTAGGGTCTCCGTATAGTCCTTATCCTTAGCTAACATAACAGGTGTTTTTCCGTCTGGAGATATACTGCAAATATGATTTCGTTATTTTATATTCTACAAATATTTCTTCATAAGAGTTGTACCTTGCGGATCCATAGTGCATTATGCTACCGTAGTCATACGGTAAATCATAGTTATTATTGGTCTGCGGTGTCTGCGGTTCGAACTGCTTTTTCCAGTAGTGCTGAAATTGTTCACGAAATTATAATATTATTCTAGATAGTTTCGCTACCGATAACATAACATATCATAACACCTACTCCGATTTTCTTGGTGTCGACTGTAATAAACTGGTCACGGTCGTGCCTCGTATGCGTATGAAAGAATCCTAGGGCATGTCCAATTTCATGAGCTGCGTGTCCGATCTAAGGCAAAAAAAAACATGAAAAACACATGGGTAGCATTCGAGCGATTTAAAGACAACCGTGATGGTTCCCCCTCGTTTTGTTTGACTCATATTTCTAAGAAAGTGTGGTCCAACCCTAAATTTGAACACATACCGTTCCACAGCCTTCGGCGAGTGAGAGGTCTTGTGGCCCTCCGCTCACGTACCTACCGAGCTGTGAGCTACATCCGTCTCCCTCGATCACAAGGAGATAGTGTTCGGCTGAAGTACGAACATTAAGCCAAGCCGTGCTAGCTCATCTATCTTCTTGAATTTTCTGTATTGAGTACCCAACCATGCTCTGAATGATCCAACTGCAAGTGTGTAGGTTGGATAATCATTTAGACGTTTGGCAGAGAGAGAGTGTTGGTGATGAAGAGGGCAACATTGATAAGATTCGCATGAATGCAGGGTAAAACAACGTGCAAAAAAAGTCCCATATCTGGGAATCTGTGCCGTTTTCATGTTTTTTTTCACCCCTGTACCAATAATAATTTCTAACCTCATTTCTGATGTGCTGCTTTTTCATCGCAAACTCTGTCTTTGAACAGTAATGAACAGGCCATTTCATGCTATTTGCGATGACCGATGCGAGCTTACGATCGCATCCAGCGAAACGTCAGCAAACATCAAGATGCACTTCTTCACCAAACTGCGCAGACGGGGCGCAACAATCTAAGAGGTCGTGTGTTTGTCATAAATAGTATATCTTAAGGGGTCATATTTGTTGCTTGGAAAAGAGGTGTGTAAGCACTGGGTTAAAGGGAAATGGGGAGCATGCTAACTAAATGAAATGACACGGGACTTCAAAAAATTTAAACGTTAACTATGTTTGTAGGCATAGGCTTTCATTGAACATCTCTGGAATTTGATTGGCGGATTTCATGCTAGCGCAAAAGGAGTTAGACATCAAAGTGCATGTGCTGCTCTCAATCAGTTACGAACAGGAGTTGTTGAGGCCGCACGGCTCGATTTCAATTTTTTGATCAAAAAAGTTTCTTCGAAAAATTGATGTTTTGGGAAGAAATGCAGAGCAAATGGAGCTGGGAAGATCGACTTTCCGATGCTCGAAGGGATCCTTCGCTAAATTATCTTGAGTAGGTAATGTTTGAAAACGATTCAATAACATTTCCAAAATACAAGGCACTTCTGACATCTGGCATTCCGGATTAAGATAAAGGATCCATGGCTCGCTACCCAGGTAATTGAATTCATTGCGCATAGAAACCGCAGTTCATTTTATTTCATAGAGCAATATCGTCTAGAAAATTTTTATAAGAAGGTTTGAAAATGTCCCTGTTTCAAAAGTGTTGTGGCATCTTGGGCAAGAGAATTTGAAAGTAAAATTTCGTCTTCCTGATATCTCACTTGAGATTCTATTGGCATGATTGGTCAAAACACTTTACTCCTCTAGTGGATGATTGAGGCTTCATGCTAAAGAACGAGTCCATGCAATTTTTGGATATTTCCATTTTTTTAAAATTTACATTATGGAATTATTACATTTCAGGCCTACAAAGTGCGAGGACCGTTCGACAAAAGTAGCCAAATCGGCAGGTAGCTCTAACTCTGTTTTCACTAGAACAACCCATTAGAGATCAAGAATGTGCGTTACACGTGCGTTACACTATGACCCCTAAATATTCCGTTATTAGATTGTTCAAAAATTCACGTCGTTTCTTCCAACTGTGCCAAAACCGCCAAAACCGCCAAAACTCCATGGTTCCCACTATTTCATTGAATTCACCCAAAGTCCCTACCGACAAAACCTTCAAAAACTATGTCCGGAAGAAGTCGTGACTAAGTATGAAGTGCATGTGTGACTGAGTTTCTTATCTTTTTGATCGAATTTTCTGTTGAAGTAATGTGGTGGTTTCCGGTCACGGACACCTTGCGACGCAGGCCTATAATCCACTCAAGCTACAGCGAATATAAAACCGGAACGCATGGATGAAGAAAAAAGAAACGCCTACCAGTGTCATACAAGACAATAGGAAAGGATGGCGTCTTGGAGCAAAAAAGCACAAAGAACGGCCTGCTCTTAGCAATCAACCAGAAAAAAAGCAAAACTGGAGAAGAAAGATACAATTTTTTTGAACAATCTAATAGCGGATCGTTCAGAAGTCATGACAAATTATTCACATGGTACTTCAATAATCCTCCCTTAGTGAAAACTGAGTTGGAGCTAATTGCCGGTCTGGCTAACCTTCGCCAACTCGAACTCTCTATTCGTAGTGTACTGCCGTGCTGCCACACTTACCAAGCGCGGGATATGTGGCGTTTGCATCCTCTCCCTTACGATGTGCTATCTCGCGTTTTCCCTCTCCTCGCAGCGCTGTGTCATTCAAACAGACCACGGCCAATCTGACGAGGAAAACACCAGTGTTTTCTATGGCGCTCTTTGCTTTTTTCCCGCTAACCTTCTTCTTCGCTCTTCTTGCCAAATTTTTAAACAAAGTAAGACTAGTCCTGATCCGCACCTTCAAGAAAACGCTTTCAATTGAAATGCTCGCTGATTGCTTTCAAACCTCCATAACTGTTGGTCATAGATGATTCATTGTTATTTGTCATTCATTAATGATTGATTGACGAAAAAAAAACTAACGTGCTGTCATCTTTTTCGGTATATACTCCGTGAAGTTGATGCACGTGTTATCCATCCATAATTTCGCCGCTTTTTCGAACGAAGTTTTGGTTTTTTCGTCTGAAGCAATGGGAAGAGTTTTGTAATGCTCTTTTATGCATAAGCTAGAGAACCTGACCTAGTTTCCAGAACATGTAAGCAACTCCGTTAGACCATCTCAAGGCGGGGTAGGTTTTGTCATTGAAGGCTTGCCTTCTAGAACGAGCTCTACTAATATCTGCAGCAATTTGATCCTTTTGCTCCCTGAACATCATGGAAGCTTAGCAGAAAAAGATTTGAATGAAAAGTAGGAGAGCTAACTTTGAAAGAACAATATCTCCCTGGAAAAGTGTATCTAAAACTCCGCTTTTCGTGTTAATCTCTTCGATAGAGTCTCCCATTGGTTGCATGTTATCAACGGTATCTCTTTTGAAAAACTGAAATATTCGATGTCTGTTAACTGGCTATCAAATGTAAATGGTTTTCTCATCAGAGCTCACCTTTTGCTTTTCAAGGATTTCCGTTCTCAATTCTCGACTCAAAACGGTTATGTCTGCGCTTACCCATGCGGCCAGAATTAATGCGAGCATAAGGAAACTCATGATAGACCTCAGAGCTATAGTTTTTAGAAGATGATACAATTATCAGGAGATGAAAATTGCTGGAAGGATGAAGTCAATCTCTTTTACCCTTATTTATACGGTACTTCTGGACTCTGAAGTTGACTCAGCGGGATTTTGTCGATATTGATTCATAAACGTTTATGACGTAAAAAATTTCGTTTCGTATGCTCTTCTGACATGTCACAAGAATGAATGTGGAATTGAAGGGTCACACCATCGGCTAAATCCACGAATTGCATCATTTAAGATTTTGGAGTAGTTTTGCGCTGGTCTGAAATTATGCTTTGTGTTGCAAAGAAAATGTCCACTTTCACACCATTTTTGGGATCAGTGTTTCATGTCTGGTCGAAATATCGGGAGTGAGCTCAGTTCCACAAGGCAAGCCTACAACGCTGAAACCTATCTGCCGAAAATCAGATTTGATTGCTTACCTGTCTCATGAAGTGGAGCCCTTGCGTCATGCGATTGAGGGCATCAGAATGATCTTTCTTTTTACTTACGATTGGGACACAAAGTCCTTCAATAAACAGAAACAATCGTATTCATTAATGAAGCATATCTGCTACTCCGCCAACTTTCAGGTGAAGCGCCCTTGTCCTGCTTTTTATTTTCATCAATATCGCTAAGGTTTTCAACATTCAGCGGTCGTTCTAACGACGAATTGTGTTTTCTTGTTGAGTACTTTCTCTTCGAGCACTCATTCACCTATACTTGTGGATCCGGCTGCTCACGAGCCTCCTCTAGCGTACTTCAGTAAACGGTTCCATTCGCCTCTGTCGCTCTGACCACAATATGTCCAGGATTGATGAGCACCTGCTCGATTGAGAGATGCATTTTTCCCCAGTTTCGTGACTGAAAACTTAGAAAGAAGTTCGTTGACTAAAGAAAGAGGTTTATCGGGCTCCGCTTGAAGTCACTAATTCCGCTACCTGCATCCAGATTTCTTGCGATGACCTAGTTCGATCCAAAGATATCAAATTGGTGGACTTGATGAGATGGCGTCCTTCCCGGTCGACGATCATTTACGGTGTTTCGAAGCTCCGAACTCGTTTCCACTCACATATTTTAGAGAGCGTCCTTGCTTCGTCCTCTCGTAGGATAAATAATTTTGACAGCGTGCTCATCCCTGACTCACCCGAAGCGGAAATTAAGGCGAGAGACTAGACTGGTAGTTTTGCAGACTTCAGGCCGTTTCTCTCAGTTTTTTCCTCACCACGCGCCATTCACCACCTCTCCATTCAATTCCATCATGCTATTCTGCCATACCAACTTCTTTTGTTTCACAGGATGTTGACAAATGGACAAAATGTATGCTGAAGAGGTATGGCGCCATGAAAATAGGACGAAACTACTGCACCCGTATTCTTAGATTGGAATATGTTATTCTTGTTTTTGAAATTAAGTCACATTATTAAATTCGCACGCTACCAAACCATGACGGCAGTGAACGCGTACCATGTGACTCTGTCAGTACAGAGTGCTTACTCGCTTGTTACGTAGCGTTGCCCCAGGATGCTACTACTCTTTTAGAGAAAGGTGCCTTGAGGCCACGAGACAAGCCTTGTGAAAGTTTGTGAGGCATTCTTGCTGTTCTGGAATCATACATGTTGCAGATATGGTAGCAAGTAGCCATCCGTATGTTCAGCAGTTGCGTGTTCAAGTGGTAGCCGCCACCTTCTTCTTCTAGCCGAAACCGAATCTCAAGATTCACGACACGAGATTACCCTAACTAAAATTGTTCATTGTTGCATTTGGATACAGTAACACCTCCTACATCCTAGACAGCACCAAGCACTGCTAACAGACCTGCTGCTTTCTACTGGCAGCGGGCAGTTTCGGCCAACTAGTCCAATTATGCCGAAAAAAACCTTCCAAAGGTCGTGATAGTCGCTCTATCGTACTGTTTATGCTGCCACACTTTATTCACAGAATATATACCGTCACTTTCCCTATGTAAAAAAACCACGGGCCTCATGGTTCTCATGCCCATAGTAAACTTAACACTGTTCTTTTCAGTAGTTAACGGTCTAATATTTTCTAGCAAAAGTTTCTTTCTCGGGGAAACACTTCTATTTTTTGCGGATCTTCACTCCTTGTTAGTGGGCTTTTGTGTCGTCCAGACCAATTTCGTTTTATGCAATGACTGTTATTTAAGTAAGCTGGTCTACAATCATACAGTGTGCACGTACCACTACGAATAGAATTGTTAATTGAAGCGCAGCCCTAGTGTCACGCAAGCTAACATAACGGAATCGTAACCGAACTTCTGCGTCTGACTGCGGCACTTTATCAGCCCTTATCAGTGCAGTCAATGTTCAATCACCCACCAACAATGTCCCCGTCCACCCCACATGACACATGCGAGTAATGAACGCTCTAGTGTCAACTGGGAGTATACTTGACAGATCTGACGACTTTTTGCGATCTAGCGCATCTTCTCAGACCATTATCAGTGCTATCGCCTTCATCATGTACAACCAATGTCCCCGGGACGCCCACATTAACACTTGTAAAGTATAAATGCTCCTTTTACCAATATGAACGGCAAAACAAAATTGACGATGCTCGTTTTCTAGCCCCTCTTATCAGCTATTAATCGTCATTACCAGTTCTATCAGCGTACCACGTTGTCCCCATTCCAACCCCTATAACATTTGTAAGAACCATTGGCGCTATCATTGCTGTGACCGGACGCTACGGAATTTCGATGACCAAACAGCGTATACACACACTACACATACCACACGCACAGACATACTTAGCGCAATTAAATATAGTAGGATTTATCGAATGCAGGCATTTAGGTTCGCCGGCAGATCAATGGCCCACTTTTCATTAAAAGGCTTGAAGACGAACACCAATCAGGATGGGTTTTTTTGTATTTCTATTACTCATCAAGACACAGGAGGGGTTTGGAACTTCACTCAAATGTCTATTGTACAAATGACATTTGATGGCAGTTTTTTGCCTGCATCCCTTTGGAATCGAGTACGTTGACCAAACTTCTAATTCTTGTTCAAATATTGAAAGTTAAAAATGCACGTATTTATAATGTTCAAACCTGCAGTTATATAGATATCTCTCCTAAGGTCAGAATTCGACTAGAAAAACTGCTCTTAGAACACTTTTGCCTCAAGATTAGAGCGCTGCGAGAAGAGCGTCCTGGTCCAAAGAGTTCTATCTCGCGAGGCCCTTGCGTCGGCAAAATTCGCATGTTTGTCAAAGTTAATGCTCTCTATCGTTGCTTGCCCTCTTCAACGCTAACCTTCTCCCTTACTGATGTCCTAGGTCAGACGGGCGAGAGGAGGGGTGCCGCGGCACGAGGTACGTCCCGTGCTAGGTCCGCTGGGCTTACTCCTTACAAGGGGTTCTTTCGGGACACATTGAGGCGTTTTTTTAAGTGTTTTTCTAAGCTTTCTCTAAAACTTCGTTAAGGACCATGTGTAGAACACTGATGGTGTACTTTTTCCTGACCGTCCCCGAGTAGTGTCAAACAGCGGAGAAGAAGTGGTCCAAGGGTCTCCCGTTGTCTAGCTGCGAAACGCGCACCCGTCGCCGCACCCTAAGGGGTCCCGCCCAGAGGTGAAATCGTGCGACGTACGTGGTAGCAGAGACGACCCCCTCCCGAAATGAGGTCCTGGCACGGACCCCTTATAACAGAGCAAATAATTCAGAATTAAATTAATTAATCAAAATAAATCCGGCAGACCAAAACAAATCAAAAAAATTCTGCAAATAATTTATGGACGCCGCATCTTGTCTTTCATTCGCTGCAGCACTTTGTTGTTATTTACTGAATATCGACTTCGAGGAAACTTTGTGTGGGCCTCAAAGTTGGATTTGTTCAGAAATGCACGGAAATCCTTGAAAGCACGGGGTTTGCGATTTAATCTAATTCTTGCTTGAGTATATCAAACAGCCAGAGTTGTATCACTTAACGGCGATTAACAGCAGCTGCGGCCGCGATTGTCACTGGTCAGATTGCTGGAATCCCGAAAAAAACGTCGATCTACACCCGGCGATGAAAAGTTTTGCATTCCTCACATTTCGTAACCTTTGAAGCGTTTGAGGTAACGTTCAGGTAGACTGGGCTTCGCGTTTTAAGAAGTATTGAAAATTGCTTCTGAAAGCCTTCCATGGAAGAGTAGGGATCTCTCAAAGCTTCGCTCGAGTAAATGCGAGGACGCGGAAATTTTCACGCGAGTTTTTGCCACTTCAAGGCAATATCTTAGTTCGTAAGATCCATAAAGAAAGGGAAGATAGTTTTGCGAAAGCGGAAGTGTTTGCGCTTTCTGATGATCCTCTTAGCTTTCTTTACATTTCCTGTGAGAAGATATCTGCGTCGAGTATGGGTAGGCGAGCGACGGATTCCGCGACCACCTGAAATCCGCCCTCTCCCTCCTTTACCATTGCAAGTGTGGATTCGCTTGCAACACTCGGACATTGTCTGTAAGAACAAAATCCTTTCAACGCACGCAATAAGAATAGGGGCGATTTCGTCATCATCCGACTTTCGTGTCGTATTAAGCCCATGCATCACAGTCCTCACTCACAGTTTGCAGAAATCGATTGAGAAAGGTGTTATATGCGTGGGGACCTTCGGAACGAAACTGTAATGTAGTAGACATAGTGTTGTTGCTATTCCTGTAACCAAAAAACAATATTTGCCCAGCGCTTTTTTTCTTCCGGTTGTTCGATTGGCGGACAGGGTGACCTACAACAGTGTTCATTCCAGCGAGGTTATTAAGGAGAAGAATGCGAGCGATAGGCGAGGAAGTCCTGTGCAGCGCTGTGACGCCACCATTGTGGCAGTCTTCTTTGCGGGGATCAACTTTCATTCTTTGTGCTGCCTTCAGATACGTCCTTCTACATGAAGCGTGGAGAAATGGAGGACTGAACCTGCCGAAGAAAATTTATCAGTATCATGTTTTTTTCAGAATGTTTTCATTTTCTGCCGCCTATACCCTCTTAACCTATCTGCATCACGAGACCACTGCTAGTTACTTACCCAAAGATAGACCCCCCAGGACCAGTCCGACAAGGTACGACCCCTGTCGAGGATTTTCCTCGAACCGATACTCACCTGGTCCCGCCTGTCTTTTGAATTGATGAATTCCTTCCACCTCTTTTCTCCATCGCTGCAACGCTATCGCTGAAAATTTTCTTTAAAAGCGGAATTGTAATGAATCTTTTCGGCATGGACCCTATTACTCAAAAAACAAGGAGAATCCTGTGATCGATAGTGCCATGTACTAGGAAGAAACGTTAGCAGATGTATTCTCTTGCTATCTCTCGCCTATCTAGTACTAGGCGTCTTAACTTTAGAGTTAACTTCATAAATTTCTTGTGCTTACGAGATGTTTGCTGGGAAATTATTCACTTCAGTGGCCTTCTACGGTTTCAACTGGACCGTCGTAGTCAGAGGCGCTAAACATGTTTCGAGTTTTGGATTCCGTTTCTA